ACTATATATATATATATATATATATAAATTTTTTTTTTTTCATTACCGGACACGCTTTAACCGATAAGAAGCTATCCGGATCGTTGACGAAAAAAATGACGAGTTACGTTTTACAAACGTAAAGTCGACTTCATTATTGATCGACAGTTGTTCTGCTATCATCGACAGTAAATAGAGATGATCAATGACAAATTAAGATATTATTAAGATATTATAAGCGGCAAGCGTAACAAGACGAAGATGAATTGTGTTTCTCGTTGAGAGTGCAAAGATTCTATTATTTGGCAAACGAAATTCGCGCAACGGGCGGTTGCACGCGGTGGTTGCACGTCGCCGATCGGGAACTTCGGCACGATGGCACTTGCGAGACTTGCGAAATTGCCATCGGTGCCGAAGCTGCGATCGGTCGCCGATTAGCCGGACGACCGTCACTCGTCATCGGTCCGTTTAGAGTTCATTAGTAATATAATCGTTCTCTATTTCTGTTTTCTTTGTATTAATTAGAGCGTATTTAGGCCTGCGGGCTACTTTTCCCCAGCGACGCGCTGCGAATCCCATCGACGACAAAAACGAGGCTCACCCTATCCGCTATCGGATTCGCTGATTTCGCTTCTCCCCCTCGCTTTTAACCACTCACCCTAGGTAGGTACAGAGAGAGAAAAGAATGACGTGATTCTGTAATCCGCGTTTGCGAGTCTATTTATCCACGCACCGCGCTTCGATCGAGAGCTCGACCCTCGAAATTAACCCTCCCAGGGTGTTTTTCTCTGTTCGACCGTCTTCTTGCGGCTCCTCTGTTTACTTAGCGAATTCATTCTCTCTTCTTTTCTCTTATGGAAAGTGTAGATTGTTCGCGTGTCCCTCTTTCTCTTCTCCCTATCGATATTCATTCTCGTCCTTTCGCAAGATCATTGTTGATTCTGCTCGCGAAGCGATAATCTGCTGCTCATGGAAAAATGGCTTCTTGCGACAGCTGATTTACCGCATTCATCTAAAGGAATTGCCCCAACCGTTATTCCCGCGATAACCGCTATTCCGATATTTCGGAGTTCCATCATTTTGTCCTCTTGTTGTTCCCTTCTTTTTAAGTTGCCGATAGATTACCTGTCGTTTACCTCCCCTCCCCTTCTGGCGAGAGGGAGGAGGCGCTCGACCGTGCGTTCGCGCGCACGTCGACGGCACATCGACGAAAAGAATGAAGCTACTGATTTTATAGAGGAATTGTACGCGTAACAACTTTTTTTTGCTCCGAAAAAATATTTGGAACTTATCAAGTATTTCCTATAAAAGTATTATTAAGAATAGTGTTCTTCAAAGTGAAAGTCACGACCCTTAGGGGGAGAGGTTGCGGACAGACTCCAAAATTTCCATTCGTATGTTTGACTTTAAAATATAAAACTTAAATAAATTCATTCATTTAAGTGTAAAACACAATTATTGAAAAGTACAAATAATCTCTTGAGATTCATTCAATTCGAAAGATAAAAATGGGGGAAAGATAAAAGGGGAGTATTTACGCTCTATGTTTTTTGCTTGTAGGAGAGTCGCGAGATCCATAAAAGTTTGAAAAACACTGGCATAGAAAAATATAATATAAATAATATAAATATATATATATATCAAACGAAGAAAAAAAATCACATGCATGTGTGATTACGCGCAGGAAATTTTCGCATACAGATTTCAATCGAGATAAAATATTGAATAAATAGGAAACGATATACACACACGTGGATTACGGTTACCATATTTTTTGAGGGCTTACTGCTGATAAAACTGATATTGGGAAACGATCACAACGGAAAATGCTGGAAAATTCATTTGCGATATTTTTCATAGACATGCCGTCGATGCTTTCACGCACGCACACGTGACAACACGCTGAATGTGCAATGCACACATATACACACATATACACACATACACATATACACGCGCGCACATACGCACATACACACGTCGACGCAAATCCGCGATTAGGACGCTAAATACGATTAGGATTCTAAATTTGACTGACTGATCCTGATTTTGCAAAGGGCGGTCGCAAAACGTGAAAATAATGCAGATCGTTCTCCTCCTGCTTTATTTGCATTTTTATCGTGTATTTTCGATAAATTTTGTCACGTCGCGTTTTGCAATCTGACAGTTTTCCGTCTGATTCGCCGTGGCGGATAACTCGCGAACTGATTTATTAATTATCTTCAAATTAATTTCACAGATTCAGATAAATCCGATCCTTCGGATTTATTAGATTCCGATGATCCGGCCGTCTGGGGGAAGAGGGGGAGGGATTTAAGCGATCCGATAATTATTATTTCCGACAATTATTTCGGATATCAAATTATCCGAATATTTGTGGCTTTTGCGCGACGGTTGGGAGAGATTTTCTTGGAAAAGAAAAATTTTCGTGATAAGTATATAAATCGTTATATTAGTATATCGCAATTACTTGCAATTACTTTTTCGTCCTAATCCCCCATAATCCATATCTGCGAATTTCGCAGATTCGAATCGAGTTTGATTTTTCAAATATCGATTCCAGGCAATCCGGATATTCGGACTAGAGTAATATACATCGATATTTTTTTATAATAATTATACATATTAGTAATTATCTTTTAGTTTACATTAAATTACTTAGATATTCGCAGCCTTAACGACAATATCGGGATGCAAAATTTCGAGAATATTGTCGCGAAGACTAAAGGAAGATCGATTTCGAATTCTTCTTTTTGGTGCTTTTTTCACTACAGCAATTATATTATTTTTTTTATTACATTTTAAAATAATAAATTTTACGTGATTTATGTGCTGTTATCTGACATATATATCGTGATTATTTTCTAATTATTTTAATCTTGAAAGCTCGAACTCATTCTATTCGCCATAATTTACTTGCAAATAATCTTTCGAATGGCACGAAATCTGAAATGGTTTTAGATTGCGTTATTTCTTTCGAAATAAATTCTTTTGATAACTTTAACGATTTTTTTCTGAAATACGCTTTCAAATCGTGTTTTTTATTTCTTATTTCTAATTGACCTAGAAAGAAAGGCAAATATAAAAAGTATAATTCAAAATAAAATAATATAATTGCTATATGTATGTGTGTGTGTGTGTATGCACGCACGCACGCACGCACGCACGCACGCACGCACGCACACACACACACACACACACACACACACACACACTTAATTTTTTTTAAA